CATTGAACCGGACGCACCATACTCCACAGCACGGTCTATGGACCGCCATCTCAATTGATTACATCCGGTGGAACAGAACACCAGACGACGGGGCGGACGACATAATTGAGCACTGTAGTAACCAGCCAAAGTCCATTATGCACAGGTCTAAGAGGTCATGGTCAACCACCGGTCCAACCAGCTGAACACGAACAGATGTCCTAGCCAATAGGATTGCTCACTTCCGCGACCAAACACGGGAACATATAAAAGCGCACGCGCACACAACCCGCTGCATGCTCACCGACGCTTCTCTACGCTACGCTACTTGCTAGACACCACTCAACAACGCCCTGTTGAGGTCACCTCGATTGGTGACCAAACATTTGCAACAAAGTTGCCAAGCTCAGCGAACAGTTCAACTACCATCAAAACAGGGTGTGTTCACACCCTAACATTGTCGACAAAGATTTTCAGTACGAAGTCAAGACCTCCTGACGCCATAGGTGATGTTAACTATCCCAAGTGTGAAGTTGAGCAGGGAAATCCGATCCGGTAAGCCACCAACCGTTGGATGAGTTATCAAAATGGACGTATTTATCCGCCTGTTATGGTGAGTCGCCCGAAAGCGCGAGGGTTAAAGTAGCCGCTAGTTAGTGTGGTACGGTGTAACTATACTTTAACTGAGTGCATGCCGCTCGATAGCTCAGAACCAGCCGTTTCCTACTAGTAAAGCATGTTTCTATAGATCTCTGAACACGAACAGATGTCCTAGCCAATAGGATTGCTCACTTCCGCGACCAAACACGGGAACATATAAAAGCGCACGCGCACACAACCCGCTGCATGCTCACCGACGCTTCTCTACGCTACGCTACTTGCTAGACACCACTCAACAACGCCCTGTTGAGGTCACCTCGATTGGTGACCAAACATTTGCAACAAAGTTGCCAAGCTCAGCGAACAGTTCAACTACCATCAAAACAGGGTGTGTTCACACCCTAACATTGTCGACAAAGATTTTCAGTACGAAGTCAAGACCTCCTGACGCCATAGGTGATGTTAACTATCCCAAGTGTGAAGTTGAGCAGGGAAATCCGATCCGGTAAGCCACCAACCGTTGGATGAGTTATCAAAATGGACGTATTTATCCGCCTGTTATGGTGAGTCGCCCGAAAGCGCGAGGGTTAAAGTAGCCGCTAGTTAGTGTGGTACGGTGTAACTATACTTTAACTGAGTGCATGCCGCTCGATAGCTCAGAACCAGCCGTTTCCTACTAGTAAAGCATGTTTCTATAGATCTCTGGGGATATCCAAAGTACAGTGATATCATTAGCACGCTCCAATTCACAACACCGGTCTGTCGAAACCGCCTCGAAGCTATTGCGCTCAAGTTCATCCACAGTACAAACATACCTTAAGCCACTGGCAAAAATGAAGCGCGAAAAGGAACATTCCTTGCTGGGTCTTGGAATACCCGTCGTGTGTATGCATTCTGACAAACAATCTCGATTGGTTCCACATTTTGCATTGAAGCAAATCTCCGTCAATAAGAAGGTAGAGAGGACAGCATTCGCATCTCTCCCACTAATACTGTTCAACAAAGATTTGGTCTGTAAATTTTTGAATGACAACCTGCCCTCTTCCACTTGCTTATTCTTGGGTTATCAGCATTAGTGCTGCTGCGATGTACAATTTGCTGGTCGAACTAGGTGCCAGATATCCGACAGAATGCCCCCCCCCCGCACTCCCATATGAACTTAAGGGGGCGGATTGGGGCCTTCCAATAACCACAACTTACAGCATTGCTTTGATTACGGGCATATGGTACACGAAAACTACCATTTCCATAATGTTTTCCGCGTTTTTTTAAAACGTTTATTGTACACCTGCCACTTGAAACTTGAATTGTGTTCTCATAATCTATGCTAATGGATGTTGTAGTTACGCAGTCAACTGGTGGTTGCAATTTAATGTGTATTCATTAGATAGGTTTGGTTACTCCAGCTACTGTAAATCTTGCTGTATGTACTCACTTCCTTTCTGTCTATATAACATCAGTACTAATGTTAGTTTGAGATTTTAATTCCTATAACAATATAAACAATACATTGCTTAATTCACAGCCCAAGTGGGCACCCAGTGCATGTTGTTACCCCTACGTTAATCGATAAGTCTAAAAAGAGCTTTCGAAAAGCATTTCTTACTCATTGCCTGTTTGTAGACAGCATTTTGCTGATACAATTGGACTACATATGACAGTAGGGGGTCGACGATGATTCATTGCAAACAAGTATCCCTTTTAATCATCTGTTTTCGGTACACAGTTTGAAAAGTTTTAGTCATATATGCTAAACTTGATATGAAAGGGAATGTTAGTACCTCAGGTCGCCTATTTCTTGGTCTCGCTTTCACTGGGCTTGGTAATGTGGTGGTACACGTTTCGTTACCAACTGATTTGAAGTCGTCATTGCCTCAACTGTTTAAATTAGTGGATGATGCATAAAAGCAAAAATGTCACTGCTTGTAAACAAGAACTCTCATATTCATAAATGCTTTTTAAAAGGGCTTGGGTGATGTATATGCGACCATGAAGTTAAGTGGGGACATCTTTCGAAAGCCAAGCGGTAAAATCTGGCAAGTAATGTTTCCCATAGAAATTCCCCCACCCCAGTTACTAATATTCTTTCGTTATGATGTTGATCATCAGCTCTCCTACAAAAAGGCTCATTTTCAACACCACACCCGTTAAGTAAGTGTGACACCAACTGATTAGCATTTCACTGCACACACACAATCACGTGCCTAATATGTTCAGATGCAGTTCGTAGGAATGTTCCAAACAGCACTTGGGTTTAACGCATCTGACAAATACTATCATAGATAACCCTTATTTGGTGCCCACTGGAGCCTGGACGAAACAAGATAGATGCTCTGATTAAAGAGGAGTTTCTATACAAACTCAAGAGTAAAGCATAATCAAGACACGTAAACTTAATATTGTAGCCAGGAAACAAAGACACTTTAGCAGTTTGGCTCTACCTTTCAACCAAACTGTGAGTCTCACTTGTTGCCCCAACATGGAGTACGTAGCGTTTAAGGTAACAAGTTCTACATTAGAATGGTACACCAATTCTAACCTATAGCATACTGGCCTTCCACAGCTTTCCAAGGTCAACCATTGTTCTACCGATTAGTTGTCCCCGGTGCTTGGTTGCTTAATTTAATTCAGTTTAATAGCAAGTAGGAGGTATGGTGTTTTACAACGAACTCCGAATTTCTTCACCCAAGGCATGGAAACAAAGCATAAATTGGTACTTGAGTGTAGTGTGTCAAAGCAAGTAGCACTGTCTTAGATTAAGATTTACCTGCCCCATAGCGTATTACACGGATCACTGCCACAACTAAGTAGTTTGAGCATTTAACCAAAGTTCGATAGTATTTGCAAATTGTATCATTGAAGGTTTAAACTAGTGCTAGCTACCGAGATTTAATCGCTGGTACTACCCTGACTTATTCAGTCTTTATTGCGGCAGTGGAGAAGTTTATTTGAAGGGCTTGGTAAACCGTGGGAGTATAAATGTTTTGGCCTGCGTGGGGCTATTTATTCGGCAACTACATGATCAATAGTTATTGTATGTTTCCTATCTTGAGTGCAATAGGAAAACGGAACCGATCATGCGAAAGCGACGCTTCTTTGGCATCCTCTACATTGCCAGATTTCGGCCAGGCATTGTGCTTATGAGAAACTTCTGTAGCCTGGCGAGACGCACCATGCTTGATAAGCGTAATTGGCAAAATAAAGCTGTGGCATCGTTGCAAATTTGCACTCGCCAGACATAACCACGTGCCGTACCTCGATGGGCTTATTCGTGTTTGTTCCGTTGCTTGGCTCGTTTGGGTGGATAATTTGACCGAATAATAGGTCAATGAAACATTGGAAGATTAATTGTAAAAAGTTAAAACCTAACGAGTAGGTAGAATGGTTTGGGTAAAATAATTAACAATCAAAGTGCAAGCTTTACCATCAAAATGGGCGATGCATCTGTGGACTCACTTTTGCACTCATGTTAATACAACCGAAATCCATCTGTCATAGGATAGTCAGCGACTACCGGGTTTGTATACATTGTTCATTGTCAGGCGAACGCAGGCCATAGCACGTGATGCAAAAAGTCAAATGCATTGCCACCTATCTTTTTAAGTATGGATAACATTGTTACAGAGAAGTTGTGGCACTGGGAACGACTGTCCACGCTTTCCACAAAAATCAGACTTGTTGTTTCTCGGGTTTTTAAGACCATCACGGATTGCTAGGAGCAGCCGAGCTAGTCTTGAATCACCATTTAAGGGTCATATCGCAACCGGTTTCTCTAACAGATGTCCCCGTGCATATATAGGACATTTGGTTGGTGAGGTATTCGGAGCGCTCTGTGTCTATTCACGCTAAACGGGAATAATTTCATTTTAGGCCACTCTACAATCCGTCTTTAGGTTTTACTGCAGCGAGATCTTACCTTGCTGATAACCGAGCATTCCCCATATCTTGACACCTCATTGGCAAGTATACACAATCCGTCAATAAGCCGTAGGAATAAAAGCGGCCCGAGCTCCAAAGCTGTTGGAAGACTGCGTTCCATCTCATTCTGACCCGTTGCGATGAGATAAACAGCATCATATATTTAGGCGCAGATTACACAATGCGCCTCGCTGGCTTGATGTGCCGAAATCTTCCCAACATAGATCTCGAAATCGGATTTCAGTCTATCAACTCCCCGGATACCTATCTACTGAGTTCTCGTTTCCCTTGATGACAACAATGATGCTTTGTAATTATTTTATGGCTGCAAAACTGACCTAGGTGATCTGGTTCACATAGTGATGGTGAAAGCCAACTTTTCTGCTTGTTTCCATTTGTTGCCGAACCCAATTTACTATTTACGCTTTATAACTAACGATCATTAAAAGAAGGAAAACATGTCAGGCTGGAAGGCAAATCTAGCAGTGATACTGACCACTCACATGTAATTTTGGTCGCCCACACAGTTGTTCAACCATTTACAGTGGTGGTCGAAATTTGACACACATTTGTTGCAAGACTTGCAGTGTTTGGTGCGGGAACTGGATCTGAGTTTTGAAAACGAAAGTTCAGTGAGAATGAGTTCAGTTGTGAGATTGCAGATATCTAGAATACAGGAAACTCATTGGACATTTAATATTGCGCAAAATGAAACTAAAACAGTTGGAGGGGGACATACGGATTCCTGGTATTTGATTAAGCTTCTGAAGGAGCCTTTAGATAAGGTGGACTTGCAATGTAAGAAGAAACACCCAAATCTCCAAACACTCTCCCGGCCGGGAGACAAGACTGTTACTGGAACTTTAAGTAACCGTCAATGTTATGGAGTAATGCATTTCACTATACCCTGCATATTATTGCAGCGAGGTGTTTATTTCCTCTGAGTATTCACTATTGTGCAATTCTTCTTTGCATTGGTACCGATTGCTTGCTTGATTATCCCCAACTGATTGCACTGATCCTATCACATTCTGTTGGTCAGCCATGCTCAAAGCACGGAAGTGCGATGAATTCACTTGCTGTTGGCCACTTCTCCGTAATAATAATGTTTTACTTTTTCAATTCAACAAAGTGTTTTATGCATCAGAACAGTGCATGTTCAGCTGTTACACCCACGCTTTCAGCATAGTAAAAGAACTAAAGCAGTTGAGACATAAATAAAGGGATAAGTGGCATAAACAGCAGTATGGTTATGATGCAAAGTTGTTCTTAAACTTCACTACAATTGATGTCTGGTCGCTCAAGAAACGTGCCAGATATGGAATAATGGATAAGTGATAAGCCGTTGTGCGGACAAAAGTCGATGTATACTTTTGTCTGGCTGAGGATGTTGATACACGCTCAGACACTGTGCCATGAAGGGGGTGACTTGTATCAATAAGTATTCTCGAAGCAAGCCTTATGGATGTATTGGTGTATGTGTGTGTGGACACAACAATCTCAACAGGGGTCTACTTGGGAATTCCACTACACCGAGGTAATTGCGTTGGTAACCTACCTAAGGTTTCGAATTGCTTCCTTAGGAAACCAGAAAATATCACAGTGGAGCAATAGGTCCAAAGGAGTAAGACACATGCGGTGAGAAATCACAGGATTAAGTGGCAAGGAGCAGAGGAAGATCGCAAACGAAGGGCGTAGAATGAAAGCCTTCTCGCTTTTGTAAAAAGACCATAAACATGGAGCGACCAGGACAGATCATAACTGTGTGTTACTCATAGGTACTTCCCTGACCATCTGGAGTGCAAATTCTTGCCATCTGTGTGAACTTCAGGGTATTCCATGAGAACCTGCTGATAATCATGATCTTTATGTATGGAGCAAATGAAATTATTCCATTTTGCTGTATTCAACCATAAAAAGTAAGCTCTGGAGTATAATATAAGGCCGTCCAGATATGTTTGTAATTTGGTTGATGAGTCTGCGGTCGTTTATTGCATACTCATGACTTCGTCGTGTGCATATTCAAGCAATACCGCATCAGCAAGGAGAGGTACAGAGGCGATGTATGTTGAAAAGTGATGGGATAGTGCGGCCCCTTGAAAAACTTCAGTGTCTGTGGTGAGCGGCGAGGAAGTTTTACCCCCAAGTCGAGTAAACCGGACACTTCCAGTGAAGTAGTATCTCACAACATGGACAGTAGAGAGTTGAATTTCAGCCTTGTGCAGGTCTCTCAAAAATGTTCACTGTTTATAATGCCGAAAACATTACTGTACTCGAGAAAACATACACGTACGGATTTGATCTCGTTGTCTAGTGAAGGCAGCACTGAATGTACAAGATAGGCTAATGTGTCTTGAATAGACTACAAACTACGATAAACAAACTGTACCGGATCATCTGAATGAGTCTGATTCAACAACTTTTGAAGAATAGTCTTCGCGAATATATTCGACTTTACCGAGGTACATTCAATTGCTCGGTATTTATCTGTGGGTTTCTCTGGCACCGGTGTAATACTGGCACTTGTAAGGCACTCAGCAATGTTATACTCTATCATGCACAACGTGTCTATGTCAACAAGAGGCTGGACCAAGGAGTCCGCACATGCTTTGAGGATAACGGCTGATAGTCAGTCCGGACCACTTGCTTTGTTGAAGTTTCGCTGTAGTAGCTTATTGCGCACTGTATTTCTGTCATTGGTTGGTAAGGAATTTGTCGGCCAATCATCTCGTGGAGAAAAAGAGTGAGAGGTGGAGTTAGCATTGAAGAAACAGAAGTTTCAGTTCTTTTCTTCCAGGTCTACACCTGGTTTTGACTCTAGGTTAGCTACTCCACTAAGTTGTTTCAGCATATGCCAGACATCCCGTCAGCTACTACTTCCCAATATGGTTTTGGACATATAGGTGGTTTAGACGGCGCAACTCAGTTTTGCTAGCAATAGTGAAAGGTTTCACCGCAGTGTGGTCTTTCGTTTTGAACGCTTTCTCTTTGCGTCTACGAAAGCGTTTGAGATGTGGAGATGAAAACCGCTCCGCACGGATGAAAATGGTTTCCAGTGGACAGCAGGTATCAAAGCAGAAGTTGATGTAGCTAGTCAACTAATCGCAGTATGTAGATGAATCGTTGTCAAAAACTATATTAATTTCTGTGGATGAAATCATTTTCTGGAGGCGAGATATGCTCTCAGCATTAAGCATGCTTTTAAGCCTGAGGGTAATGTCCCTATGATTTACTTTGCTGCACACGATAGGCGATAATTTGATATTTGAGTGGTCAGAACTAACAATCGGTGCCTGATTGCCCACAAAAAACAGCTTCGGATTGTTAACAAATACAAGGTCTATCATCATCATCATTACACGTTAGCTAGAGGTGGAAAATACCTCAGCTATTGTGCCGCAACACCTCAGCTATTGTGCCGCAAAGTTGTTTCAATTCTAGCAGTGGAATTTACAATGTTTTGTAGCCCAAGGTCTGTGATAAAAGTGGTGTCAAATCTGTTAAGATCACCAGCAAAGATTTCAAGAGAAGAATCAATGTAGTCGGTGACACTTGAATTGAATTGATCGTAAACATTCCTCGACCTCATAGGTGGGACAACTGGGCGCAAAGTAGTGATGCGCAGGTAAAATCGATTGGTAGCCACTTAAATATCCTGGCTAACAGTTCAAAATCATACAGTTAATTAATAATGTGAGTCAACATTAATAACGGAAGCCAATACTACATAGGGATTTGGAAACAAGCTTCCGGATTGCGGTAAAAGCAAGTTGATGGAAGCGATGCAGTTGTCAAACATATTACCGAGAAAGTAAAGCCATGTGCTCAGGTACATCAACACCATTGGATTCGCGACTTTACAATGAGCGACAAGTTATTCGATAGCTTGTATAGAATATCCCGCAAATTAAATTCAGAAAAAAGGTGCAACCTAGTAAAATTAAGTTCCTCTGCCAGTTATCTCATGTCTTTTGGTAATATCATCCAATAATGCTTCTCCATTTTCACACAGGCAGTGTAATGGGTAAGCGAAGTACGGTTGGAGAACCTGACCTAACCAATACAGAAAATCCCGGAAAAACAGGTGATTCAGTGTGACGCAGAAGAAGAACTTGACATCATAAACTGGTGTACTTGTGCCGCTTGTAGAGCAGCTCATGCATTCCATCGCGACGAGATTGGACCTTAACGCGGTGCGATAATTTGCGTGCCTCAGCGATTCATTGAGTTATGCTGGGTTGTGCTTTTGCACCTTCAGAAACACTCATACTAGATTGGTCAATCGTAAGAGGTCTGACAAACTCAGGGTCATGGCCCTCTAGGTTTCGGATTGGAGTGAGGGCGGCTCCTTATTTCATAAAACGGACTAACTGCAGCCATGCGAAAAGCTCACTGCATTGCGGTGGGGTTTCTGAACCAAAGGCTTAGGTTGAGCACCCTAATCCTTCTCCTGTCTAGCCCTTGGCAACCTGACACCATTATATGAACCTTTCCTCAAACATTTTATTGATGCTCTGGCCGTAGCACAGGATAATCAACGGCGCCCTATCTGCTGCATCGAGCAGGGTGGATAAGGATATGGATACTAATGCTCAAGCCTTCCCATATTCTTCTTCGTGCATCTCTCGTGCTTTTTCATCCTAATCGGCCCGTTCTAACTTCACTATTATCCACCCTGCTTTCAACCCCCACTTATGGACCCTCTCCAATCTTGGTTCAGGCATCGTTTATCTTCTTCTTCTGACTCACACGCAATCGCTGAGTGTCGCTCCGGTCAAGTAGGCAAGGCCATGTCCAGCCAAACAACGGCACTTCAGCTATTTCCATTTGGAGTCCACGATCCTCCCTAAGACTAGCGTGCCTCGATGTGTGCACTTTGTTGCAAATTGGCCCACAGGCAGCATGTGCTCCAACATTCGAGACCGTATCGATCGATATCAGCGACTTGTCAGAAAGGCGCCTGCAAGGTACGAGTTCTGTGATTGCACTGCGATCCCCAACAAGCGACACTGGCTGCAGGTTCTCATTGCGCTTGTCCGGAGGTGAAGCGGCTTCAAATGCCGATCAAACCGAGGTGGGCGTTGCTCTTCGCCCCTGGGCTGAAGCTGCCTTGATCGATTGAATCCCAACGAACAGTCGGGTGTGCGTTGGCAGCTTGGCTGGCTCGTTCAAAGCATCGAAGTCGCGTGGAGACAAACGGTGCTTGTTGATCATTGCAGCCTACGCGAGCACAAATTGTAACACTGACTCGGTGAAAGACGACTTCTATCACCAATTAAACGCGTTCCTTCGTTACAGAAAAAGCACGGACACCGTGATGCTTGCTGGTTATTTGGGCGTCTAAGTTGAAAAACTGTCCACTAATGAGCTTCATCTGTTTGACAAACACGGTGTAGGCTTCCGTACTGATAACGGTTAGCGGTTGCTATACATGTGTGAAAATGCTCGTCTCTTTCTCGTGAGCACCCGCTGAAGGGTGACATGACGCCCACCAGCCTCGGACCAGCCATGGACTCAAATCGATCACAGCGGGCTCAGTTACCACTGGATCAGATGCGTTCAAAACTGTCGCTCGATATGGACCACGAGCGTGGACTCTGACCACGCA